GGATGAAAAAACAAAACCCAAGGCTACAGTTGATCCAATCCCTGGATGCAGCAAGAATTTTCCGCCATTGCCCAACAAAGATAAAAAAAATAAAAAAGCTGCTCCTCAAACTTCTCAAAAGAAATCCAAGTCCGAACGAGGTTTGCTAGCTTTTTCGGACATTGTGGAATTCATATTAAATATGTTCAACATACAAGACCCTCTAAGAAGCTTAGTTTCTGCCTTGCTTCCAACGTTAGAATCATATCTTAAGCAATTGACTGTTTCATGGCCCCTCCTTGCATCAATCATATCTTTCGATGGATAATTCGTCGAACGAGGTTGAAGATATGATCACGGTGCTACAGTGGAACTGCCGTAGTCTAGTGCCTAAACTAGACTCGTTCAAATTTTTACTTCACAATTCTGATTGTGATATATTTGCTCTCTGTGAAACATGGCTTTCTTCCGATAAAGAACTCAACTTCCACGATTTTAACATTATACGCCTGGATAGAGACGATTCTTATGGAGGAGTACATTTAGGGATCAAAAAGTGCTACCCTTTCTACAAAATTTCCCTTCCTGCTCTATCCGGCGTCGAAATCGTTGCTTGCCAAATAAATGTGAAGAACAAAGATCTTTGCATAGCTTCAGTATACGTTCCACCAAGCACCTCCATTAGCCGTGGTCAACTCTGGAATCTAGTTTCGATTCTTGCATCCCCAGTATTAATTCTAGGTGATATGAACTCCCATGGTACTGGGTGGGGCGATCTATATGACGACAATAGAGCGGCTATTTTTTACGATTTATGTGACGATTTCAATTTGACTATTTTGAACACTGGTGAAGCGACACGTATAGCAAAACCTCCGGCTCAAGAAAGCCGACTCGACCTATCTTTGTGTTCAAGATCGCTATCATTGGATTGTCAGTGGAAGGTTATCAATGATCCCCATGGTAGCGATCATTTGCCAATCATCATTTCAATTAAGTGTGGCCCTCACTCTGCAGAACCATCTCGGGTTCCATTTGATCTTACAAGGAACATCGACTGGCAGAAATATGCAACGGCGGTGACAATCGGTGTCGAATCAATAGATGCGCTTCCACCATTGGAAGAATATCGATTCCTAGCCTAGATTTACAAAAGCTCACTGGAAGCACAAAAAAGAAAAGTTCCAAGTACACCCTTTAAAAGGAGACCAGCCACACCTGGTTGGGACGAAGAATGCACAAAATTGTATGTAGAAAAATTTGATGCTTTCAAAGCTTTTCGTAGACACAAAACCTCCACTTACTTCGAGGAATATTCAAAGCTTGAGACAAAGCTGAAACAATTAATCAAAGCAAAAAAACGCGGTTATTGGCGCAATTTCGTCGAGGGACTCTCACGAGAAACCTCAATGAACACCTTGTGGAGGGTGGCTCGCAACATGCGTAACCGCTCATCTTTCAATGAGAGTGAATAATACTCCAACCGATGGATATTCGATTTCGCTAAAAAGGTCTGCCCGGACTCAGTTCCAGCACAAAATATTCTTCGAGAAGTGTCTCCTAGCGGCGGCTCTCTGGATAGACCATTCTCAATGCTGGATTTCTCTATGGCTCTTCTTTCATCGAACAACTCCTCACCGGGAAGCGATATGATTAAATTCAATCTTCTGAAAAATCTCCCAGATATCGCTAAAAGACGCTTGCTAGATTTATTCAATTCCTTGCTAGAAAACAACATTGTACCGCCTGAATGGAGAAAGGTCAAAGTAATAGCCATTAAAAAACCTGGCAAATCAGCGTCTGACCATAACTCATACCGTCCGATTGCAATGCTTTCGTGCATTAGGAAATTGTTGGAGAAAATGATCCTTCGGAGACTCGATCAGTGGGTCGAAACAAATAACTTGCTATCAAATACACAGTTTGGGTTCCGCAAGAGCAAAGGAACAAACGATTGTCTAGCGCTGCTTTCCACAGATATTCAACTGGCCTTTGCACACAAGGAGCAATTGTCTTCAGTATTCTTGGACATTAAGGGGGCTTTTGATTCAGTTTCCATTGAAATTCTGTCAGACAATCTGCACAGATGTGGACTTTCTGGAATTTTAAATAATTTCTTGTACAATTTGTTGTCAGAAAAGCAAATGAACTTTTCCCTTGGACAACTGACAACTTCCAGAATTAGCTACATGGGCCTGCTCCAAGGCTCATGTCTCAGCCCTCTTCTTTATAACTTTTATGTCAAAGATATCGACAACTGTTTGGCAGAACAATGCACGCTAAGACAACTTGCAGATGACGGTGTGGTTTCCGTAAGAGGTCCACATGCCGTGGACTTGCAAGGACCATTGCAAAATTCCTTAGATAACTTGTCTTCTTGGGCTATGAATCTAGGGATCGAATTCTCGCCGCAGAAAACTGAACTGGTAGTGTTTACTCGAAAGCGGTACCCAGCCCAAATGCAGCTTAATCTTTTGGGCAGAAACATGACCCAATCATTGTCTTTCAAGTATCTTGGGGTCTGGTTTGATTCAAAATGCACTTGGAATGCCCATATTACGTATTTGAAGCAAAAATGTCAGCAGAGGATCAACTTTCTCCGTTCAATTTGCGGCACATGGTGGGGTGCTCATCCGGGAGACCTCATAATGCTTTATAAAACAACTATTCTCTCTGTTCTAGAGTACGGCTCTTTCTGCTTTCTCTCGGAAAGAAAATGTCACCTAATAAAATTGGAACGAATTCAATATCGTTGCCTGCGTATTGCTCTAGGCTGTATGCACTCAACGCATAACATGAGTCTCGAGGTTCTGGCAGGAGTAACACCCCTCCAGAACCGTTTCTGGGAGCTCTCTCTCAGAATACTAATCAAATGCGGAGTGACGAACACACTTATAATTGCTAATTTTGAAGAAATTCTTGGGCTGAACACACAATCTCGATTTATGAGAATCTACCACCACTACATATCATCAGATATGTGTCTTCCTTGTTATACTCCAGACCGTGTTCACTTCACCAATCGCAGTTCCTCAATTGAATATGATCTGACCATGAAACAAGCAACTCATGGGATTCCCGATCAACTTCGACCTATTATTATTCCACGTATTTTTACTGAAAAGTACCAACAAGTCAATTGCATGAAAAGATATTTTACAGACGGGTCCCGTCTCAATGGATCCACTGGCTTTGGTGTCTTCAATGAAAACTCTAGCGCCTTCCGCAAACTTCAGGAACCTTGTTCCGTTTTTGTTGCTGAGCTGGCAGCAATCAACTTCGCATTGGGGATGATTTCCAACATGCCCGCAGACCATTACTTCATCTTCTCGGATAGTCTCAGTTCGATTGAGGCTATTCGATCGATGAAACAAGGTAGGCACTCATCTTATTTCCTTTCAAAGGTAAGGGAGCAGATGAGTGTACTGGTCGAAAGATCATATATGATTACCTTTGTATGGGTCCCCTCACATTGCTCAATCCCAGGCAATGAGAAGGCGGACTCTCTCGCAAAGGTGGGCGTGCAGGAAGGCGAATTGTATGACAGGCAAATTTCACACGATGAATTTTACCATTTAGTGCGTCAGAGTACCTTTTCGAGTTGGCAAACCGATTGGGACACTGGAAATCTTGGACGGTGGTTACATTCAATTATTCCTAATGTTTCTTCGAGAGCGTGGTTTAAAGGCTTGGGCTTAAGTCGTGACTTCATTCGCGTGATGAGTAGACTTATGTCCAACCACTACTCGCTAGATGCTCATCTCAATAGAATAAACCTCGTGGACAGCAACATCTGTCGGTGTGGAAACGGTTACGATGACATCGAACACGCAGTTTGGCAATGTACGGATAATGACGCCGCCAGAGAGCGACTTTTGAATACCCTCGAGGCCCAAGGAAGACAACCCTATGTTCCTATCAGAGACGTGTTGGCAACCCGTGATCTCTGCTATATGCAGTCCGTTTATGTTTTTCTTCAAATGTCTAGTATAAGAATTTAATTCCTTTTGTCTTTTGTCTCTCTTTATTAGTTTTTGTTTGTCTAGTCCCCCCGTCTCGATGAGTCTCATCGTCGCCCACTGGTCACCCACCATAGCCGGTCGAACTCCGGACGAAGCAAGAACAGCACTACCGTTCATACTGGCGACAACGCTCTGATGAGACAACGAAACCCTACTCAACCCTACCCTACCCAAGCTCCTCCCCTGATCCTATCCTTCGAAAATGTACCCTTCTAACCTCGAGTAAGCCGCGAGTAATCGGCCCAACTCCTACTAGACATAGAATTAAGTGAATTTTGTTACACACAGTGAACAATGAATTATCGGCTCCGTAAAGCTAACGCGATTGAGCCTTCCAAATAAACGAACTAGATAAAAAAAAATTGGCTTCTTCCTCTTTTATTTCTATCTCTATCTCTATCTTTATCTATCTCTATCTCTATCTTACGCACATGAAATCGGCCAATCAGGAGCTGGTTCACGTTTGACAGAAAAGTGGTTCATTTTCGCCCCCGTATTGTCATCTCTTCTCTTAGCTTTCAACCAAAAAGAACCAACGCAAACTTTCAATTCTACCAATGTTATTTTTAATTTTATCAATGATTATTTTTTGTGTGTACACAAAACACAAGCTGCTGTTGCAGTTAACAAATAAGATTTATTATATAAGACCACGTAGTCCTACGTCACCATTGCGTATAACCCCATAGGGATGTCCCTTGTAGTTTTTTCTTCAGACTGTTTCATCTTATATGGACGTCGGTCAAAAGTTGTTCCAATCGAACCACTGATTGGCTCGATTAGAACAACTTTTTTCAGTTTTGTGGCGTCGTCCGTACTTTTACTTAGAGGACTTTAGTCGGCGCACCCCCCGCAAGAGTCACTCAAATCACTCAATTATTCATAAATATCAAACAAAATTTTTATGATGCAGTCTCTCACACATCAATGAAATGCGAGCGAGAGAACATTTACGTCAAAGCCGCTGAGAGAGTGAGTGCACACCGTCAGCATTAAAATTTATTCAGAAAGTTGTCGGTCGCCGTCGGGGATAAAGGAAATCCATTTTCAATCGTGCAGTGCATCGGCTTTGGAAACAGTTTTATCGGTACTTTTTCGCTCCAATCAAGCTCAATTTGCGAAGAAAAAGTAGTGTTCAGTGTTTTCGTCTGATTTCATAAACATCCTTGGCCAAATTCTAGCCGAAAATGTCCCATCAAACCGGAATCAAGGGTAGATAGTGAATCATTTTCTATATTTTCTCTGCTCTTTCCTGTGTTGCCGTTATTCGCATAACAGTCCCATGTGAATAGAAATTCCATAGGACATGGGTCTGTTATGCGAATAGCGTCAATATGGCACTGTCTGTCTCCTCCCCCTCCTGTTTACGGTTTCCATCGTTCCACCACCCTTTTCCCTCTCAACTTGAACCATCTGGTACAACACCCAAAATATTGCTCCACCTTCACGCTACCACCCTGCAGCACCGCCCGATGGGCGGGGGCAGCCGGGAACGACACTGCAACCTGTCGATCGACCATGGTCGTGACTTCTCATCCCTCCTACAGCCGCGCACAACCCATGGAAACCGACGTCTGTATCACGTCTCTTCCCATTGTTCCGTTCCATGCGCTGGGTGTATCGTGTCGTGTTGCATAAGTTAATTTTGATTCTTTGTTTTGTTCCGTTTCCGATATTTATTTCTAGCCAATGCGGAGCTGCTCAAGTTCTTTGGAAAATGCAAAGACGGGAAAACTAGAGTGCTCAAAGTTTCCATCGAGAACGGTGAGTCGAAGGCACTTCTTGCGTGGAAGTCGGTAGATTTAAGTATTATGCTTAGAGGCTCGATTTGTGCGTTCGTTTTGATTTTTTTTTTATAGTTATAGGGGAAAGTGAAGCTATAACGGAAGTTGTAATTGGCTTCGCATCAGTTGGTTATTAATTCTCACACAGATGTTTTCCAAATTGTCTTATTCGAGCTGTTTGTTTGCAATTGGTTTGCGAGAGTTAGTGCGTTATTCTTTTCCAATTTGGGAAATTTATTTAAGAAAACCTCCAAATGCTGCAGTTTTATAAAACTTTAGTTAGATCCAAGCAACGTTCTTCTTATAGGTTTTTTTTATGCTTCTGTATGCGAGCGTTTTGCCAGCCCGCATCTTAGTGTTCTAAATGTACTTCTACAGTTATTATTTGAGAGATTTCTATGATAACCAATGCATGAATTTGTGTATTGTGTTGTAAGCAAAATGATACTCTATGCCCAGAGAAGTCGAGAAAATTTCTAACCCGAAAGATTTCCTCAACCGGCCGCCTCCGGATTGGTAATACCGTGCCTTTACTGACTAGGCTATCTGAGGCCTCTGAAATTCACGCAAGCAATCTATAATTAAAGTTGTAATTCCTGTCTGGTTCGTGCCTCTAGAAAACTATTCTCTAATTTATTGCAGAGGAACTCACGCTAGTCGACCACAAGGCGGTCAAGAAAGATTTCGACAAAGACTACGATGCGCTCATAAAACCACTCATCGAAGACGATGTTCCGTGCTATATTCTTTATCGGTAAGTTCTCTGTATTCAACTTGTATGAATTCCATATTGTTGCTGATGATGAAAATGTGTCTATTGAATAATCAGCATCGCCGAGCGCGTCACGCTCGATTGAGCTTGCTGCTGGAGATGATCAAACAATGGACATAATTACGTGGTTTGTGTTAGGGTGTGTTCTTTCGGTTTTGATTGGGACACAGTTGGACAAAATTGATGAGGAGTTTTCTAAAAAGTGCTATTAACTCTTTCAGGCTCGACTTCAAAATCCCTACCGGATATGCATGGCTATTGCTGAGTTGGGTGCCAGAATCGGCCACGGTCCGGCAGAAAATGCTGTATGCTTCGACGAAGGCCACCCTCAAGCTGGAGTTCGGTTCGGGTCATATCAAGGAGGAGCAAAATGCCACCAGCAGGGAGGAAACGACACTTCGAGGCTACCAGAAGCATAAGCTCGACTTCAGTGCACCGGCCCCGTTGACGAGCCGGGAGGAAGAACTGGCGGAGATTAGGAAAAGTGAGGTGAAGACAGATTTCGGTATCGATACCAAGCAGCAGACGCTTGGCGGTATCAATTGTCCGATTTCCGAACCGACGAGCCAAGCGCTGAACGACATGCGTAGAGGTATATACAACTATCTGCAGTTTCGAATCGATTTGGACGAGGAAAAAATCCACGTGGTCAATGCTGCCAACATTGACATCCTAAAACTGCCATCACAGATTCCAACGGACCACGCCCGATACCATCTGTATCTGTTCAAACACCAGCACGAAGGCAACCACTTGGACAATATGGTGCTCGTCTACTCGATGCCTGGTTACAGCTGCTCGATCCGGGAACGGATGATGTACTCCAGCTGTAAGGGACCATTCTCGGCCACGATTGAGAAGCACGGTATCGAGATAACTAAGAAGATTGAAATCGACAACGGGGAAGAGCTGACAGAGGAATTCTTGTATGAAGAACTTCACCCGCGGAAGCTCAACCTGCGACCGCAATTCTCCAAGCCCAAGGGACCGCCCAGCCGGGGAGCGAAAAGACTGACAAAACCGCAAGCGGTTGAATAAACCATCTTCGACCTACAGCAAATTGTTTAAAAAACATGCAATTTATACATTTTAAGCATTTCTTTTTCGTTGCTTCCGACCGTTTTCGTTTTTTGGGTTCCATAACCGAGAATTGTCCGCGTGGCTGGCACTAACAATATATATTTTATGCTTTATGTTGCTGTGAGGAAGCGACTCTTGCCCCATTTGATGTAATGTTGTCCTATTTACTTGCAAATTGTGTGTTTAAGATTTTAAATATTGAAATCCTCGGCGGAAAATTGCACGGCAAAGCGAAATAGAAAATGCAGGGAATATATTATGGGAACGAGTGGTTATAGGTATTTTGATTTTGTATTTGTGTATAGTATTTATATTCGATCTCGAAGGAAGGCTTTTTGTTTTAAAATATCCGCATCAGACGAGTATGGACATATGAGATTACGCGGCTGATATCCACGGTCAGTGTAGACTGCACGAAGTGTTCTGATGACAAACAAAATCGAACAAGTCTCCCCCAATCAATCAGGAGCGGAAGAAAATGATGACAACAAACAAACAATAGAAAATGATTAGGTCGCCAGCGCAGCGACGAAAAACAAACCAGAATGAGCATGAATTAAAAATCGACAAAAATATATACATGATTGGAAAATCTTATTCAACTATGGTTATAATTATATACTATATATATTCGCAGTCAGGAATAGAAAGGACGAGGGAAGCAAAAAGCAAAATCAATAAAAACGAATTTTAACCTATAATACCTACCTAGTATGAAATTTAAAGTCGACGGCTATTTCCACTACAACAAAAAACCAACACCGGAATAAAAGGTAAACATATTTCTTGTAATATTCTTTACACAGAGGTGAACACAATAACGGTATGCATTGCTGAATAAAAGTACTATTTATTGAATGAACAAATGGAAATGCAAATGTTTCACTGTGACCAAGTGTTAGAACCTAAATTAAGTTAAATTGTTGAAAGATCCGTGACTTCTTTTGCTCTATAATGGAGATGTTGGAAGTCCCATGAAGTTGGCAGAAACTCCGCGAACTTCTCAGAAAATCCGCTAACTTTTCAGGGGGTCTATTATCACCGTCACGTCACTTCACTAGTGACAAAAAAGAGAGGCTCATAATCGCTATAATGACGTGACTCAAAATTTAAGAGGATTTTTTCAATGATTCTAAACCAGTGGTTCTCAAACTATGGTTGACTATGGTTGGTACTCGCCAGTTACAGTGTGTGAGCCTCTTTTCCGATATTCCATAATCTCGCGACCCACCAATATTAATATACAAATTGGCCTCAAAGTTAAAAAGGCTTCATATACGTGAAAATAGAGAGTTCTAGAATCGGGAAAATGGCTCTTTAAACACCAAAAATTACCTAAATCTTTAAAAGTAAATTAACATCAAAATGACCCTAGAAACGCCAAGAATGTCTTGAAAACGCAAAAATAAAAAATAACATTGAATCGCCCTAGAATGCTTTAATAGCTAGCGACAGTACTGTGGTTGTGGGTAGTCGACGACTACTTATCACCAAACCAAAAAATAAATAATTTTTAATATCTTCATCAGGAAAAGCACAATCAAATTTGGATTACAAGAAGCAAAGTCAAATTTTACTTGGAAAAGCGCAAAGGAATTTGGACTACGAGAAGCAAAGTGAAATTTAACTTTGAAAAGTGCAATTTAATTTGGATTACGAGATTTGAAGTCAAATTTAACTTCGAAAAGAGCAACGAATTTGGATTACGAGAAGCGAAATCAAATTTAACTTGGAAAAGCGTAATCGAATTTGGATTACGAGAAGCAAAGCCAAATTTTACTTCGAAAAGCGCAACGAATTTGGATTACGAGAAGCGAAGCCAAATTTAACTTTGAAAAGTGCAATCGAATTTGGATTACGATGAGCGAAATCAAATTTAACTTGAAAAGGCGTAATCAAATTTGGATAACTAGAAGCGATGTGAAATTTTACTTGGAAACCGCAATCGAATTTGGATTATGAGCAGCGAAGCCAAATTTAACTTGGAAAATCGCAACGAATTTGGATTACGAGAAGCGAAATCAAATTTTACTTGGAAAGCTCGACGAATTTCGATTACGAGAAGTGAAGCCAAATTTAACTTTGAAAAGTACAATCGAACTTGGAATATGAGCAGCGAAGCCAAATTTTACCTGGAAAAGCGTAATCGAATTTGGATTACGAGAAGCAAAGTGAAATTTAATTTGGATTACGAGAATCGAAGTCAAATTTTACTTCGAAAAGCGCAATGAATTTGGATTACGAGAAGCGAAGTCAAATTTAACTTGGAAAAGCGCCACGAATTTGGATTACGAGAAGCGAAGTCAAATTTAACTTGGAAAAGCGCAATCGAATTTGGATTACGAGAAGCGAAGTGAAATTTTACTTGGAAAGTGCAATCTCATTTGGATTTTGAGAATTGAAGTCAAATTTTACTTCGAAAAGCGCAAAAGAATTTGGATTACGATAAGCGAAATCAAATTTAACTTGGAAAGGATAATCGAATTTGGATAACCAGAAGCGAAGTGAAATATACTTGGAAACCGCAATCGAATTTGGATTATGAGCAGCAAAGCCAAATTTTACTTGGAAAAGCGCAATCGAATTTGGATAACCCAGCAGCAAAGCCAAATTTTACATGGAAAAGCGCATTCGAATTTGGATTACGAGAAGCGAAGTCAAATTTTACTTGGAAAAGCGCAATCGAATTTGGATTCCCAGAGGCAAAGCCAAATTTAACTTGGAAAGCGCTGTCGAATTTGAATTATAAGCAGCGAAGCCAAATTTTACTTGGAAAAGTGCAATCGAATTTGGATTAACAGAAGCAAAGCCAAATTTTACTTGGAAAGTGCTATTGAATTTGGATTACGAGAATCGAAGCCAAATTTAACTTCGAAAAGCGCAACGAATTTGAATTACGAGAAGCGAAATCAAATTTAACTTGGAAAAGCGCAATCGAATTTGGATTCCCATAAGCCAAATTTTACTTGGAAAGCTCGACGAATTCGGATTATGATAAGCGAAGTCAAATTTTGCTTGGAAAAGCACAATCAAATTTGGATAACCAGAAGCAAAGCCAAATTTAACTTGGAAAAGCGCAACGAATTTGGATTACGAGAAGCGAAGTGAAATTTTACTTGGAAACCACAATCGAATTTGGATTATGAGTAGCGAAGCCAAATTTTACTTGGAAAAGCGCAACGAATTTGGATTCCCAGAAGCAAAGTCAAATTTGACTTGGAAAGTTCAATCGAATTTGGATTATGAGATATAATAAAATTTTACTTGGAAATGCTAACATCAGGTTTTAAACCGGTGTAATAAATTTAAAAAAAAAATATCTACCTCAAAAAGCGATCACGACCCTTAAATTGAGAAACGCTGTTCTCAACTATTGCTGAAGGCATTTATTGAGTTGAAATATTTCTTGTCTTCTTTGAGCATAGATGTAATACGAGGTACTTAATGGTATTATTATGGAAGAACTCTCTCTACAATGTCGCATTTATGGTCACTGTAGACAGCTTTAGCAACAATCAATACGAAACTAACGATTTTAAATTGGCTCACCACTTTAGTAGCCTATTGGTCCCAAGCAAACGATTAACGTACCCTATTCTAGTTGAAATTCTATTACTACACTATGTTTGTTTTGATTCGCTATGAAAGTTTGACAGATAACATCAGGGGTGTGTGGATTCATGCAGAACATGCAGGGGTGAGTGAAATAGCTTGGGACTGCTTGGGACCGTTGTTCTGGTACTGAGTGAGCCAAAAATAATAATGATTTTCTTCGGGACCCAGTGGTCTTAGAGTTACCTCTATGGTCACACCATGTTCCGCTGGTCTACCGCCGCAATTTCCTTCCGTAGATCGTCCTTGGTCGGTTCTGACATGATTCTGCCCTTTCCGGGTTTTTCTTGTTTTCCGGAGGAGATAAACCCACACTAATTTCCGTTCCTGGTTCGATGTTCACTCCTTCCTCGCTGGTTGGTGTGGTTGGTTTCATGTCCACCATCTGTCACTGTATTGCCATAGAGGTAACTCTAAGACTAGAAGGTCCCGATATAACGTGCTCAAATTTTTGGCTCAGCTCTGGTACTCTCTTGGATCCCAAGCTAATCGATTCACCCCTCGAAACATAGGAAAATCCACTAACCCTTCATTTTATCTGTCAAACTTTCATAGCGAATCAAAACAAACATTGTGTAGTACTAGAATTTCGACTAGAATGGGGTACGTTTGCTTGGGACCAATAGGATAGTCAAGTAGTGAGCCAATTTAAAATCGTTAGTTTCGTATTGATTGTTGGTATTGCCATAGCCATCTGGGACGACCCAAGTAACCAAAAGTTCTGATAAAAGGCTATTTGTGGCTTAAGCAGCTTGGTTGAAAGTGGTCTATAGAATTCTAAGCAGCCTCATATAACGGCTTAATATAAGAACTTGAATGTTCCGGCACCATAATTGAAGAGTATTCTAAGCAGCTTCTGGCGGAACTTGAACGGAACTTTTAGAAAATAAATTAAAAAAGGTTTTTGTCCACTCAATTCTATATTTAGTTCGCACTTTTATGAACGTTATTTCTAAAGGCAGGAATTAATGTGTATCACCATTAGTAGTAGAATTTGAGCTGTTTGAAGAATTAAACCCAGTCCTTCTGCGTGAGAGCCCCAGCACGAACCGCTACGTCATCTGAGATATATTAAAGTGAGCTGTTGTCCCGTCTACTGTTGGAGTTTTCAGTGCCAGCTGACTGAATTGAATACGAAACACAAGACCTTGATGAATTTTAAATTGGTGTTTGTCCGCATGGTATTCCAACACACTTGTGGCGCAGTGGTTAACAGTCGTAGATCGCATGCCGAATACACGGCTTCGAATCCAGGAAATTACCTCTATGAAATTACTCTTTAATTTTTTTTAATGTTTGGTTAGAATGTTGATGCACTGCATAAATATAAGAATTATGATTTATTCGGGCCACTGATCATTTCATATTTATGTACATTAAATTTTGCTACTAATAAAGACTTGTGCGGATTGCTCCATGTGGCTTTGAAAGTTCTGTCGGAACTTTATTTGAACTTTATGGAATTTGGAAGTGATTTTAATCGTTGAATGTAGAACTTTTGGTAACTTGAGGAGGCTCACGTCAAAAGTCGCTTGTCCACCGAGCACTCGGAATGACCACTTCGTACATCATTGTGCGAAAAGAGAATGAAAGAAATACGAAAGGGATCAGTTTCAATAAGTTTCATCAGATTCCACAACTAACCATACTCAAGCAAAGTAAGTATGTACAAGAATCGGTACAAGCTGTATTGCAACTATCCAGCTTTCCATGCTCGGTAATGGCGGCCTGTTTGTTTGTTTTTTGGTAGACTACACTGCACATAATCGCAAGTCAGTCCAATCTGTAAAAAACTGGAAATGAGAAAACGACGTTCAAAGATTTTTCAAGTTTTCTGATTTGACATTTATGTTGGAGGGATAAATTTAAAAATAAACGTACAATGTGATAGAATGCATCTATGTTTACCCAAAAATATTGGAAAAATATCGTAAATATCGGCCAAAATCTGAGTGGGACTGACTTGCGATTACATTTAACGTGAATGAGAAAAATAACCGCAAGTCAGTCCCAATTCCATGACGATGCTGCATTAGTTAAGCTCATTATTGAACAGTAGAAAGATACCATGGTCCCATAGAACGTTATTGAATGTTTCTGGATTTGTTCCGCTGGTTCCAAAGCAATGGCCGAAACATACTCCGGTGAGTACGAGGGTGAGTATGGGTCTTCATCAGACCAGAGCTTTTTATAAACGAGCCAAACCCCCTATGCGATAAATCAATTCACATGAGAATTCAAAAATAAGATCAATAAGAGT